GCGGTTCTCGTTCCAGAAGCGCCAGTGAGAAGCGTGCACATGCGGGTACTCTTGCGGGTTGTACCACAAGTGCGAGCCCGGCCACGGATACGCCAGCTGGTACGGTTCCTGGCCTAGCTCGGCCGCCTCGTAGTAAACCCGTTTCAGATCATCAACCACGGGAGAAGGAGTCGTGTCCGACAGCTTGAATGGTAGCGCGAACGAAGACCACGGGTGACTCGGACGCTTCTTGCCGGAACGAGGACTCTCCGTGACCGTCTTCTTCTTAGTCGAGCCAGTGCTGATGCTCTTGAGCGGAAACCGACCATCTTGTGTGAGGCGGGGGTGCCGAGGCGGCTTCCCGCGAGTCGGTTGCCGAGGCGGCCTGGGCATGATAACTACCGGCCCCGTCAGAGCGTCCGAAGCCTTCCCCGTGTCGTCCAAGATCGCGGCGGCGATGTCGTCCAGAAGCTCGAGGCCGATGGAGCTAGCGTTTACGGCCAGGACGTCTCGCATGAGGATCCAGAAGCGCTCGTCGGCCGGAGTGTCATCTGAACAAGAACCGTCGGAGTCCGAAGACTCCACGTTCCAGACGGCCTTAAGTCGACGCGTTGCCGTTCCACGCGTGGTGCCCATACTGAGGTGGTGAGGAGAGAGGGCGCCGAGGGTTGCGTCTGTAGTCGGGGCCAAATTGCCAAATGAGCAGGAAGGCTGCCCGTCGGTACCTGGACCCTGGCCCTGTCTCTCTCTCGAGGTCCCTGTGATAACTGTATATTGGGTGCAAGAGAGACTCCTGAAAAGGACGAGGAATCGGTGTTCTCCTTTCCCAGCTACTGGACTTGACAGATGGGTGGCGACTAAGACGGATGGAGGTCGAATGACGTCGAGAAGGGTCGCCAGGGGTGTACTCAGTTTCTTATTTGCCGAGTGTACTCTCCTCTAAATGGAGCCTCATACTAGTGTCTTCTACGAGTACGCCCACTGGGAGCTGTGGCCCGTGTACGTAGGGGGTCCTAACGACTCCTCTACGTAAAGTTACCTGGGAGTTCTTGGTCCAAGTGTGGCGTGTGATCAAGTTGAACTGCGATATTTGGAGCGACTGTGCGTCGTTATACCGAGACGTACTTCAGGCAAACGAACTTCGTCAACTTCGGGGTGCTACCTACGCGTATGGAGTGTGGAGCGCGCTATTTGCTGTGCCTCCTATTGTTCTTCTCAAAGGAGAAGAGAAGTATGGTCGTTATGGACGGATGTTACGGAGTTGGTGGATCGCCTGCAAAGTGACATTCTCCGACTACATCCCCGAAGTCCTCCTCCGTACAAGAGATTCGAGTATACGCTATTGGTACGCTTTCTGGGACGCTCTCAAGGCCACATGGATGCGCCTGTACACGGTGGGAGAAGCCACCTGCTGGCTAGTACTACTATGCCTGTCTCTACTGCTGTACATCCCGGTCAACGCCTTCGATCTGGTGGAGTTCGTACTCCTGGGACCAGTGGGTGTGGGGACTGTACTATTGCTCCTACTAGCTACCGACTACTGCCTCGAGTGGACCGGCTGAAGTCTCGCCGACACTCTTGTCGTGGTGGTCGCTGGCGTGGTATATCACGCTTGTCGTCAATACGACGAGGGGAGCCCCCTCCGATCTGTCTCCCCTAAGGTGCTGGTCGAGATAGCATTGACGAGTACCCGCCGCAACGCTTCTCAACGTAGTATGGCCGAGGCTCGGAACATCGAACGTCTGCGGGTCGACGACGATGTCGAGGTGCTATATGACTTTCAAGCCGCCGACCCTAACTACGTTGAGGACCGCTTCGAGGACTACCCCGAAGCAGGTACTGTACTATTGCTCCTACTAGCTACCAACTACTGCCTCGAGTGGACCGGCTGGAGTCTCGCCGACACTCTTGTCGTGGTGGTCGCTGGCGTGTATCTCACGCTTGTCGTCAATACGACGAGGGGAGCCCCCTCCGATCTGTCTCCCCTAAGGTGCTGGTCGAGCTAGCATTGACGAGTACCCGCCGCAACGCTTCTCAACGTAGTATGGCCGAGGATCGGAACATCGAACGTCTGCGGGTCGACGACGATGTCGAGGTGCTATATGACTTTCAAGCCGCCGACCCTAACTACGTTGAGGACCGCTCCGAGGACTACCCCGAAGCGTTCCAACCCCCCCTGTCTGAAGAAGTTGCTAACGACGGAGTCTATAGTACTAACGTGAGAGATGTACGCAGAGGAACCGTTCGCTGAGGACGACGAACGACAAGTCGGGGAGGATGCCCCGTACCCGGGAACGGAGGGGTCATTCCAGGAGCTCTGCCTCCCGTCGGGATGACTCGAGACCCTGGAATCACTCCTCACTCCGCCGTCCCGTCAGGGTGGTTCCCGTTGAACTCAACCACGCACGTGCCCCGGACCGAGCCCGTTAGGGTGGCCCTATAAGGGGCCCCAGAACGCCGGAGTCTTGGCGTCGTGGGACCAAAAGCACCTCGCGACATCAAGCCCCTTCCCAGAAGCTCTCCGTTGTCCTACGAAGGCCGACAACAAACGAAGTGAATCCTTCCTTTTTCTAATATGTAGTGTAGTGTATGTAAGGTCGAGAAGGCGTTAGGCCTCTCTTCCGGTTAGCTCTCAGTCTTATATTTCCCTCCTTCTACTCAAGAGGAAGCCAAGCCAATCAACAAACTTCTATTTTCAACTCTCTAGTGTTCCTATCTACCGTTCCTGCAGCCACCGAACAAGACCGTACTCCCTGAACAGCCGCGGACTACCCGACCCTTGAAGGAAGAGGAGGTATACGACAATTCATCAATGATCTTGTAATCCAAGCTTGTGAGATGGATCTCTATATAACCCCAGCAAAATGATTACTGGACTGTAAAGAGCTTATAGAATCCATTTACTTTATTGTGCTGTAGATAGTACAGCCACAGGACGCAATACTGCCCACGATGTCCAAATCGAGGGTCCTGAATATTAACTTCGCGATAGGAATAACCTTTGGTATCACACGTGGTATTGGCAAGCCGAGGGGATCAAAGTAAGCTTTATGTTTGTTTGAGACTGCTAGCCAATGTGTCTCGCCGATCTGAGGCGCTCCCATGTTTAGACTACAGTAGTCCTTGTGTCTATTCAAATGCCGTTTGAAATCAATTTGATCTACTTTGACACCAAGGGAATTGGCAAGTTTCATTATGGGCCCTCGAAATGACGATACATTTAGGAGTGTTGTGAGCTCAATATTTTTTCAATTTTAAAAAAATTAAAGTGTTATTTAAAAGCTCCGGTTAAAAGCAATTGGAAAAGGGTAGTCTTACAGTTTTTTCGATGTAAGTTTACAATAAATGTCAACTCTTAGCCCGATTATCTTGATAACTCTAAATGGTTCGTAAGTATCATTTAGTTTGACGCACCCTCCGGTTTTGGCCACCGAGGATGTAACATTCGTTGGGACACCGTTTTTTCGTGACTGAGATGTGCCATTAATTTATGAACTCGTCAATTCGCACTGCTCGCTCACTACGTCCTTGAACTCATGAGCCAAAAGACCAAAAGAGCAGCCTTGCGCTAGTCCGCTTCTCGCAATGTTGTCCAGAGACTCCCCCACATCATTCAAGCGATCCTTGATGGTTTTCTTGCGGTCCATCTCTTCGCGGAGTGCATTGATCGTTTCCAGATGGATACCGACAAGAAATCCATCCTTGAGAAGAAGTGCAGCACCAGAATCTCCAGCGTACGTTGGGCACGAATACATGATGTGTCTTCTGTAAGCACTGATGGAGATGCCGGCTACCGGAGCAAATCCCAGTTGATTCTTAAACACGTCTTGGTATTCGTCAATACCGAATCGATACGATGTCAACACAAGATCATAGCGTCCTCTTAGTTCATCTGGTCTTCCATTCCATGGAGGAATGAAGAATGATCCCCTGGTTTTGGACGACTGCAGAATCGCAAAGTCCAGCTGAGAACTGCGAGCAACAACTTCAACAACTTCAATACCTTCCTTCAACGCCACAGACACCATGCTTCCCACAGTGTGTTGCTCCGTTAGGTTATGGTCGCATGTGACCGCTAGAGTCGAGCTGAAAAACACACCCATTCCAACATCGTTGCGTTCTCCGTCTTCTTCCACGATCACAAATACTGCCTTTTCGACTTGTTCTTGAGCGTTTGGCTGGATAAAATAACGTGAATCGCTTTCTGCGTGCTTCGGCACTTGCACAATGAGCGCATTCTCTCCATTATTCCCATACGCCGTCACTGGGGACCACGAATGGGGCAGCACCACGCTTCGCTTCGCATCGTACTCCGCCCGGTTCGCAAAGACTGTGAGATCGGACGCAGCAATCCCTGCGAGGTGACTGTCTCTGAGCTGCTCCTTCACCGCATGCCGCAACATATCCACATCTTCGATATCCACGACAACAGCATCAGTCGACGTTACCGCGTTCCCATCTTCGCCTACGAGCTGGAACCATTTCCGCGCCATCCTTCAATCTTACAGGCAACTTCCAGAATGAACTGTCATGAAATAGCCTCAACTGAGGTTTTAGAGGGCTCTTCATACCCCTTAAAAGTAATCGAGAGTACCCTCAGAGACAGCGATGATGTACCATGTAGTTGTACCATGTAGTACAGCCTGTACCATGTAGTACTTCCAAGGGTGTCTAGGGGTACTCCCGTTGCTCTTACATGAGATGGTTGGGCGGATGTTGAGCGGACGACATGCGGACAAGACGAACATTCTCGATGCCCATTCTGGGACAAGACGAACATCATTCTTGCTTTCTTCGGGACTTCCAATCGTCGCTCCAAGCACGGTGATCCAGTTGGACGGACGTCGAATCCTTGGTATTCCGCCACGGATGGCGCTCCCGGTAGGGTTTCCTGCAACTCTGTCGGTGGATTTGTACTCACCATTGGTCTGGGCAATGCGTTAATCAGACGTCCAGCAATCTCTTGCGGACTGCACCCTCCGACTTTGGCCACCGAGGATGTAACATTCGTTGTGACACCGTTTTTTCGTGACTGAGATGTGCCATTAATTTATGAACTCGTCAATTCGCACTACTCGCTCACTACGTCGTTGAACTCATGAGCCAAAAGACCAAAAGAGCAGCCTTGCGCTAGTCCGCTTCTCGCAATGTTGTCCAGAGACTCCCCCACATCATTCAAGCGATCCTTGATGGTTTTCTTGCGGTCCATCTCTTCGCGGAGTGCATTGACCGTATCCAGATGGATACCGACAAGAAATCCATCCTTGAGAAGAAGTGCAGCACCAGAATCTCCAGCGTACGTTGGGCACGAATACATGATGTGTCTTCTGTAAGCACTGATGGAGATGCCGGCTACCGGAGCAAATCCCAGTTGATTCTTAAACACGTCTTGGTATTCGTCAATACCGAATCGATACGATGCCAACACAAGATCATAGCGTCCTCTTAGTTCATCTGGTCTTCCATTCCATGGAGGAATGAAGAATGATCCCCTGGTTTTGGACGACTGCAGAATCGCAAAGTCCAGCTGAGAACTGCGAGCACCAACTTCAACAACTTCAATACCTTCCTTCAACGCCACAGACACCATGCTTCCCACAGTGTGTTGCTCCGTTAGGTTATGGTCGCATGTGACCGCTAGAGTCGAGCTGAAAAACACACCCATTCCAACATCGTTGCGTTCTCCGTCTTCTTCCACGATCACAAATACTGCCTTTTCGACTTGTTCTTGAGCGTTTGGCTGGATAAAATAACGTGAATCGCTTTCTGCGTGCTTCGGCACTTGCACAATGAGCGCATTCTCTCCATTATTCCCATACGCCGTCACTGGGGACCACGAATGGGGCAGCACCACGCTTCGCTTCGCATCGTACTCCGCCCGGTTCGCAAAGACTGTGAGATCGGACGCAGCAATCCCTGCGAGGTGACTGTCTCTGAGCTGCTCCTTCACCGCATGCCGCAACATATCCACATCTTCGATATCCACGACAACAGCATCAGTCGACGTTACCGCGTTCCCATCTTCGCCTACGAGCTGGAACCATTTCCGCGCCATCCTTCAATCTTACAGGCAACTTCCAGAATGAACTGTCATGAAATAGCCTCAACTGAGGTTTTAGAGGACGGTGCGTATCGTCTATGTTTCATCGTCCGCTCTTCATACCCCTTAAAAGTAATCGAGAGTACCCTCAGAGACAGCGATGATGTACCATGTAGTTGTACCATGTAGTACAGCCTGTACCATGTAGTACTTCCAAGGGTGTCTAGGGGTACTCCCGTTGCTCTTACATGAGATGGTTGGGCGGATGTTGAGCGGACGACATGCGGACAAGACGAACATTCTCGATGCCCATTCTGGGACAAGACGAACATCATTCTTGCTTTCTTCGGGACTTCCAATCGTCGCTCCAAGCACGGTGATCCAGTTGGACGGACGTCGAATCCTTGGTATTCCGCCACGGATGGCGCTCCCGGTAGGGTTTCCTGCAACTCTGTCGGTGGATTTGTACTCACCATTGGTCTGGGCAATGCGTTAATCAGACGTCCAGCAATCTCTTGCGGACTGCACCCTCCGACTTTGGCCACCGAGGATGTAACATTCGTTGTGACACCGTTTTTTCGTGACTGAGATGTGCCATTAATTTATGAACTCGTCAATTCGCACTACTCGCTCACTACGTCGTTGAACTCATGAGCCAAAAGACCAAAAGAGCAGCCTTGCGCTAGTCCGCTTCTCGCAATGTTGTCCAGAGACTCCCCCACATCATTCAAGCGATCCTTGATGGTTTTCTTGCGGTCCATCTCTTCGCGGAGTGCATTGATCGTTTCCAGATGGATACCGACAAGAAATCCATCCTTGAGAAGAAGTGCAGCACCAGAATCTCCAGCGTACGTTGGGCACGAATACATGATGTGTCTTCTGTAAGCACTGATGGAGATGCCGGCTACCGGAGCAAATCCCAGTTGATTCTTAAACACGTCTTGGTATTCGTCAATACCGAATCGATACGATGCCAACACAAGATCATAGCGTCCTCTTAGTTCATCTGGTCTTCCATTCCATGGAGGAATGAAGAATGATCCCCTGGTTTTGGACGACTGCAGAATCGCAAAGTCCAGCTGAGAACTGCGAGCACCAACTTCAACAACTTCAATACCTTCCTTCAACGCCACAGACACCATGCTTCCCACAGTGTGTTGCTCCGTTAGGTTATGGTCGCATGTGACCGCTAGAGTCGAGCTGAAAAACACACCCATTCCAACATCGTTGCGTTCTCCGTCTTCTTCCACGATCACAAATACTGCCTTTTCGACTTGTTCTTGAGCGTTTGGCTGGATAAAATAACGTGAATCGCTTTCTGCGTGCTTCGGCACTTGCACAATGAGCGCATTCTCTCCATTATTCCCATACGCCGTCACTGGGGACCACGAATGGGGCAGCACCACGCTTCGCTTCGCATCGTACTCCGCCCGGTTCGCAAAGACTGTGAGATCGGACGCAGCAATCCTTGCGAGGTGACTGTCTCTGAGCTGCTCCTTCACCGCATGCCGCAACATATCCACATCTTCGATATCCACGACAACAGCATCAGTCGACGTTACCGCGTTCCCATCTTCGCCTACGAGCTGGAACCATTTCCGCGCCATCCTTCAATCTTACAGGCAACTTCCAGAATGAACTGTCATGAAATAGCCTCAACTGAGGTTTTAGAGGACGGTGCGTATCGTCTATGTTTCATCGTCCGCTCTTCATACCCCTTAAAAGTAATCGAGAGTACCCTCAGAGACAGCGATGATGTACCATGTAGTTGTACCATGTAGTACAGCCTGTACCATGTAGTACTTCCAAGGGTGTCTAGGGGTACTCCCGTTGCTCTTACATGAGATGATGTTGAGCGGACGACATGCGGACAAGACGAACATTCTCGATGCCCATTCTGGGACAAGACGAACATCATTCTTGCTTTCTTCGGGACTTCCAATCGTCGCTCCAAGCACGGTGATCCAGTTGGACGGACGTCGAATCCTTGGTATTCCGCCACGGATGGCGCTCCCGGTAGGGTTTCCTGCAACTCTGTCGGTGGATTTGTACTCACCATTGGTCTGGGCAATGCGTTAATCAGACGTCCAGCAATCTCTTGCGGACTGCACCCTCCGACTTTGGCCACCGAGGATGTAACATTCGTTGTGACACCGTTTTTTCGTGACTGAGATGTGCCATTAATTTATGAACTCGTCAATTCGCACTACTCGCTCACTACGTCGTTGAACTCATGAGCCAAAAGACCAAAAGAGCAGCCTTGCGCTAGTCCGCTTCTCGCAATGTTGTCCAGAGACTCCCCCACATCATTCAAGCGATCCTTGATGGTTTTCTTGCGGTCCATCTCTTCGCGGAGTGCATTGATCGTATCCAGATGGATACCGACAAGAAATCCATCCTTGAGAAGAAGTGCAGCACCAGAATCTCCAGCGTACGTTGGGCACGAATACATGATGTGTCTTCTGTAAGCACTGATGGAGATGCCGGCTACCGGAGCAAATCCCAGTTGATTCTTAAACACGTCTTGGTATTCGTCAATACCAAATCGATACGATGCCAACACAAGATCATAGCGTCCTCTTAGTTCATCTGTTCTTCCATTCCATGGAGGAATGAAGAATGATCCCCTGGTTTTGGACGACTGCAGAATCGCAAAGTCCAGCTGAGAACTGCGAGCAACAACTTCAACAACTTCAATACCTTCCTTCAACGCCACAGACACCATGCTTCCCACAGTGTGTTGCTCCGTTAGGTTATGGTCGCATGTCACCGCTAGAGTCGAGCTGAAAAACACACCCATTCCAACACCGTTGCGTTCTCCGTCTTCTTCCACGATCACAAATACTGCCTTTTCGACTTGTTCTTGAACGTTTGGCTGGATAAAATAGCGTGAATCGCTTTCTGCGCGCTTCGGCACTTGCACAATGAGCGCATTCTCTCCATTATTCCCATACGCCGTCACCGGGGACCCCGACTGGGGCAGCACCACGCTTCGCTTCGCATCGTACTCCGCCCGGTTCGCAAAGACTGTGAGATCGGACGCAGCAATCCCTGCGAGGTGACTGTCTCTGAGCTGCTCCTTCACCGCATGCCGCAACATATCCACATCTTCGATATCCACGACAACAGCATCAGTCGACGTTACCGCGTTCCCATCTTCGCCTACGAGCTGGAACCATTTCCGCGCCATCCTTCAATCTCAAACGGCAACTTCGAGAATGAACTTCTCATGAAATAACCAATTGAGGCGGAGCGTATCGTCTATGTTTCATCGTCCGCTCTTCATACCCCTAAAAAGGAATCGAGAGTACCCCTACTCACCCTCAGAGACAGCGATGATATACCATGTATTACAGTCCTGTATTAATACCATGTAGTTCGATGATGTACCATGTAGTACTTCTAAGGGTGTCTAGGGGTACTCTCGTTGCTCTTATATAGGATGGTTGGGCGGATGTTGAGCGGACGACGAGCGGACAAGACGAACATCATTCTTGGGGACGGGACTCATACTCGTCACCTGCAGTAGCTACGCGGAACAACCGTGCGCCCAATCAAGCTGTCGCTGCGACAGACGCAGTCACACCGGCGTCAATGACTCCTCTGCTCTCCAGCATCGATCGCATCAGCGCTGCTCTGGAAGCTGCAGTGGCACATCCTCCACCGCCGACCGGTACAGTGCGTGTGTGCCACGCAACGGAAGACGAGTGGAACGCGTTTGCAGACAGCGAGGATCCAATCGTTCGACTCAATTATCTTGAATGGTTTCCTGACACGGAAGAGATTCACATCATCGAGTTTGCCGACGCTCCACACGAAAATAACATTGCAGAGCTAAACGATCAATTTCGTGAGCGGCATGTCAAGCGATGGCTCAAAGGCCACTTGGCCGCCAAGAATTCTCAAGGGCAACAAAGGTGCTCAGATCTCAGTTATGGACCACGCGAAGAAACACCCGGCTCGGTGCTTCCTCCAAACGTTCCAATATTTGCAGACTTTCGGACGATTAAGGTTGAGATTGGAGTTTCTCAGCTATGGGGCATGGCACCTGGAGAGCTCGACCACAAGGCGATTGCGATATGGGCCACGATGCCAGAAGTCGAATATGTGCTATGTGTGTCGTTCGAACCCGACTTTGCGAATGCCGAATGCAAGTTGTATGATGCTCGCGTCCATCCACTCGTGCAGCTGGCTCCACTTCCAATCGCCGCTTCAAGCACGGTGATCCAGTTGGACGGAGGTCGAATCCTTGGTATTCCGCCACGGATGGCGCTCCCGGTAGGGTTTCCTGCAACTCTGTCGGTGGATTTGTACTCTCCATTGGTCCGGGCAATGCGTTAATCAGACGTCCAACAATCTCTTGCGGACTGCACCCTCCGATTTTGGCCACCGAGGATGTAACATTCGTTGAGACACCGTTTTATGTGACTGAGATGTGCCATCAATTTATGAACTCGTCAATTCGCACTACTCGCTCACTACGTCCTTGAACTCATGAGCCAAAAGACCAAAAGAGCAGCCTTGCGCTAGTCGGCTTCTCGCAATGTTGTCCAGAGACTCCCCCACATCATTTAAGCGATCCTTGATGGTTTTCTTGCGGTCCATCTCTTCGCGGAGTGCATTGATCGTATCCAGATGGATACCGACAAGAAATCCATCCTTGAGAAGAAGTGCAGCACCAGAATCTCCAGCGTACGTTGGGCACGAATACATGATGTGTCTTCTGTGAGCACTGATGGAGATGCCGGCTACCGGAGCAAATCCCAGTTGATTCTTGAACATCTTGGTATTCGTCAATACCAAATCGATACGATGCCAACACAAGATCATAGCGTCCTCTTGGTTCATCTGTTCTTCCATTCCATGGAGGAATGAAGAATGATCTGGGTTTGGACGACTGCAGAATCGCAAAGTCCAGCTGAGAACTGCGAGCAACAACTTCAACAACTTCAATACCTTCCTTCAACGCCACAGACACCATGCTTCCCACAGTTTGTTGCTCCGTTAGGTTATGGTCGCATGTCACCGCTAGAGTCAAGTGAAAACACACCCATTCCAACACCGTTGCGTTCTCCGTCTTCTTCCACGATCACAAATACTGCCTTTTCGACTTGTTCTTGAACGTTTGGCTGGATAAAATAACGTGAATCGCTTTCTGCGTGCTTCGTCACTTGCACACTGAGCGCATTCTCTTCATTATTCCCATACGCCGTCACTGGGGACCACGACTGGGGCAGCAGCACGTTTCGCTTCGCATCGTACTCCGCACGGTTCGCAAAGACTGTGAGGTCGACAGCATCGACGTTCGCGAGAGCGCTCGGACACTCTTTCTTCACTGCCTTTCGGAACGTATCCACATCTTCAACATCCACATCAACAGAAGTCGTCGATGTGAGATCCTTGCCGTTCTCGTCCACGAGCAGGAACCATTTCCGCGCCGCCATCCCTTCTACGCCAGGCGCACTCACGAAATATCCTGAACGAGGTGAGGTTGAGTCCGACAACTGGTACATCAAACTGACACAAATTTTACATAGAACTACACAACGCTAAACGAATCCCGTGTGAGAACTGCAGGCGGTATCGTTGTTCAAATCAATCGAGACGGATATACATCATGGCCCATCATGATTCATGGGGCACGGGTTGGCGATGGATGCAATCGACGCGATATTGAGCGGCAATTGACGTATGCGCTTGCTGACAAGCGGATGCCAACGAAGACCAAAGGATTTAAGAAAGAAAGGTGCTCTTGCGGTAATGATCAAGGGAAGTGCTTTCTGTATCAGCCTGCAGACGGGTCTCCATCCGGAGATGCATTTCTGTGTCTGGAAGATGCGACGAAGGGCTTCTTTCACGAGGTTCATCAGTGTAAATGCGTCGAAGGGAATCTATCACTGGACGTTTTCGAGCAAGAGCGGTTGAAGGCTGCTGGTCCCGACGACCTATTCATCTTATATTGCACGAGCCTAGTGACGGTTGACCTATGTTTGCTGCCGAACTCCGCGTTTGTTGATGCCACCTGCTGGGAAGCGTACTACGGCCCATTTGCTACTCGTGCACACTTCATCAAGTGTGTTCCGTTTTACCGTGCATCAACACGAGCTCCGAGGTTCAGCTGGAGTTCGTGGAGGGTGTAGGCCCGGCCTACCGTGCCCGAATCGCGAAGAAGCGTCCATTTACGAGCTTGGAAGATGCTTTTGTGAAGACCAATATTCCTGTCAAGGTTCTTAGACGATTCGATTTCAACACGGATTCGCGTGTGCCCCATCTCGGCCATGGGGTGATACTTCCTTTCGATCAAGAGTACCTGTAATTCTGAATTATGAGTCTGTCAAAAATCTGTTGGAGATATTATTTTGGCATTAATGAAGTATCGCTTGGTGCTTCTGGAATTGCATGCGTAGTCCTATCAGCAATCCTTCGTATGTAGTGTGTGCAGATTTTCATCTCGACATATTTGATTTTACTATGATGTTCCTTAGGTATTTATCCAATCCGAACTTCTTTCGCATCCAAACAAGCAAGTGTCTCCGCATTTCAGATCTCGATATTTCCGCCACTTCTTCATATGCTACGTTTCCCATAGCGAATCCGTAGCTGTTATTATTATAGCAGTCTCGTGAAATTCATTGCTTCTATCAATAAATGACTGTGGGACAAATGCCGTCACCTTCTTGCTTGCGTATTTTTCTTTGAGCTCGATATACTTTGAGCGGCATCGATGCAAGAACGTAGCGAACTCTTGATCTTATACTTTCTGCTCAAGTTCCACATCGACTTCGTCATCGGGAACTTGCTTGCCAAATTTAACAATCATCAGACGACGAGCGATTTCGCCAGCTTCGTCTGTGTAGTTCGGCATATGATTCGAGTTGAGGCGAGTTGGAATATTCCAATCTAGCACTTCAATGGAGCCTTTCCCTTTGACGGGGCACGAAATTGAACCGCGAGTCAGCATTGATAAGAAATATGATCGAAGAAGCGACTTAGCGATGTTATGAGGCATCTCATCGCAGCAAAATGGTCTGCTTCGTGACACAATCACGCAGGCCAAATTTTTCTTGCATTGAGTTACTAAGAAGTCCAATACGATTATGCTGACGGCAAAGACGTGCTAAGCGAAAAATGGTTCAATGGCGGTGTAGGCGGTGAATCAACCACCACCTTTGTGCGATCGATTCATGCGTAGAACGGAGAACGAGATATGTTTTCTCTTGAAAGGAAGTATCACCCCATGGCCAAGATGAGGCTAACGCGAATCCGTGTTGAATTTGAATCGTCTAAGAACCTTGACTGGAATCTTGGTCTTCACAAAAGCATCTTCCAAGCTCGTAAATGGACGCTTCTTCGCGATTCGGGCACGGTAGGGCCGGGCCTACACCCTCCACGAACTCCAGTTGGACCTCGGAGCTCGTGTTGATGCACGGTAACGGAACAGACTTGATGAAGAATGCACGAGCAGCAAATGGACCGTAGTACGCTTCCCAGCAGGTGGCATCAACAAACGCGGAGTTCGGCAGCAAACATAGGTCAGCCGTCACTAGGCTCGTGCAATATAAGATGAATAGGTCGTCGGGACCAGCAGCCTTCAACCGCTCTTGCTCGAAAACGTCCAGTGATAGATTCCCTTCGACGCATTTACACTGATGAACCTCGTGAAAGAAGCCCTTCGTCGCATCTTCCAGACACAGAAATGCATCTTCGGACGCAGACCCGTCTGCAGGCTGATACAGAAAGCACTTCCCTTGATCATTACCGCAAGAACACCTTTCTTCCTTAAATCCTTTGGTCTTCGTTGGCATCCGCTTGTCAGCTAGCGCATACGTCAATTGCCGCTCAATAACGCGTCGATTGCATCCATCGCCAAACCGTGCCCCATGATGTATATCCGTCCACAGCACAGGCTCCTCCTGGGCGAAAGCTTGCGATTTCAACACTCGGAACTTGCAGTTAAAATGCTCCCAAAGTTGCCAAGGTTTTAAGTCTTCCAACCGTTCTGCCGGTGCGTAAGTAGCATGTTTGCTCCATGGAATATCATGCGTTTCCAGCAGCATATAGAGAATGAACGGGCATTGGAGTTGGGTTCCATCGAGTCGGATCAACCCGCACGAGATAACTTGATCAAGCGTTAGATTTCCGAAAAGCGAATTTCCATCGACCCTCCGACGAGAAATCACCGCAAGAAATGCTTGCTTCATACTCTGCATCTGGGCAACAATCGCAGGGTACGCTTGTCGAATTGCAGCCAGCACTTTGTGCATCACCGGAATGAATTCAAAAGCTTGCCCCTGGCTTTGCAGCATCACCTTAAACAATTCTTCCAATGCTCTGCCATGCCCGCCCATGTCATCCACCAATAGCTGCGTCAAAGCTTCATTGCCATTGTTGAATGCATCAAATACGTCTCTTCCATCGATCTTCGGGCGCTCCAATGATGTCGTCTGCAGCATCTCTCTCCATTGTGGCGAAGCGGCCAGAAATTCATCCACTGGCTGGGAAATAGTCGCCGCGCAGATCACAATCAGCCAGCACTTGGAGGCATTGACGAGGTCACACAGCGACGCAAACGCCGTATAAAACTCGGAACGCTTGCTTCCTGGTTCATGCGGAAGCTTTTGCAAGCTATCGACACAGAGAATCACGCACATTTGGCTCGGATCCGTTCCAGTGATTGCTGACAATTTTGACAATACTTGTGCAGGGACAACATGATTCGCATGATCCAACATAAATTCGTCCCAGACGAACGAATCCTGCAGTTGGTACAGCATTCGAGTTCCAATTGCCTGGCCCGGATCAATGAAATTACCTGGCTTGGTTGTTCCATTTTCAAAGGTAATCTTGAAATTGTAGGCATTCCGCAAAAGCTGCTTCATCGCTGGATCTCCTTGCGTCTCATCGTGAAAGATTTGCTGCTGCAAGATTTTCGGAAATTCGTCAAGCAATCTCGACTTTCCAGTTCCGGGGCCATCTAAGCACACGAATAGCGGATGAGTTCGCTTGTCCGTCTTCCCATCTCTCCACGCTTCATAATGACAGCCTATGGCGGATGCTAGGTTGCCGAGATCCAATGAATTCTGGAAATCCCAATTCGCACCAGTCGTTGCGACCAACGACTTTGGCTCCTTCCACAAGAACGACTGCTGCGATAACGCTGGCACCACCGCCGCTTCAGTCGGAACCACAACCAGCACGTGGATTTGCCCTTCGTTCGGCTGAAACTTCTCTCCAAAGTATCGGTCGTTCTTGATCCATAACGATGGATCCATCTTATCGAAGCCTTGAGGGTTTCCATGTTCATCGAGCGTCACAGCCGCAGCGCCATCACTATTCAGCCACGCGCCGCCTTTCTTGGCCAAGAACAGCTGAAGCTTGCTGTTGGGGTGGCCAAACTGTGGGTGGTCTCGGATCATGTTCCGTAAGTCATCAACCGTGTCGCTCTCATCAACCCGCACAGAGAACGCGCTTCCTGCCGCTCCAGCCAACGCACAGAAAAGCTTCACCATCTTTCCTTTTGTTTTGTGACTGAAGAAATCATCTGTCACCTCACTTTCAGGGTTTTATTTGGAATGATGGCAAAAATAACCTCAACTGAGGTTGAAATCTCGGTTCGAAAACCGGTTTCAAGTAGGCTCCAAAAAAGTATCGGTATCGATCGATAGTACTGTAACAATTCGGACTTAAGGGACTGAAGTGTGTCTTCGTCTTTCGGGACGACTATCGATACTTCAGCATGGCTCCAAAATGATACCGGTATCGATCAAGAGTACCCGTCTTACTCAATGATGAGTCTTGACAATATTTTAGCATTAATGAAGTATCGCTTGGTGCTTCTGGCATTGCATTCGTAGTCCTTACAGCAATCCTTCGTATGTTTATTTCCACAATGCGTGCAGATTTTCATTTCGACATATCTGATTTTACTATGAGCGCGCTCGATCTCTTGCGGCTTTAACTGTTCCTTAGGTAGTTTATCCAATCCGAACTTCTCTTCCATCCATACGAGCAAGTGTCTCCGCATTTCAGATCTTGATATTTCTGCCCCTTCTTCATATGCTACGTTTCCCATAGCAAATCCGTAGCTGTTGTTAGCAGTCTCACGAAACTCATTGCTTCTATCAATGAATGACTGTGGAGCAAATGCTGTCACCTTCTTGCTTGCGTATTTGTCTTTGAATTCGATATACTTTGAGCGGCATCGATGCAAGAACGTTGCGAACTCTTGATCTTTGATTTTCTGCTCAAGTTCCACATCTACTTCGTCATCAGGGACTTGCTTGCCAAATTTAACAATCATCAGACGACGAACGATTTCGCCAGCTTCGTCTTTGTAGTTCGGCATATGATTCGAGTTGATTAGAGTTGGAATATTCCAATCTAGCACTTCAATTGAGCCTTTCCCTTTGACGGGGCACGAAATCGAACCGCGAGTCATCATTGATAAGAAATCTGATCGTGGAAGCGTCTTAGTGATGTTATGAGGCATGTCGTCGCAGCAAACGATTTGCTTCGTGGCGAAATCACTCAGGCCAAATTTTTCTTGCATTGAGTTACTTAGAAGTCCAATCTGATCTTGACCAAATGCAAATTTTATGAGATTGGCCAAAAGACTTTTACCTGATCCTCCCTGTCCATGAATCATTAGCATGAAGTCAAACTTGTCATCCAAAACTGTTAGACATCGACCAATGAGGAAGTAAATGAACTCGCGGTCCTCTTCTTCCGTGAATTGAAAAGAAAAGTACTTATCAAATAGCGGGGTCTCAGCGATTTCGATTTTCTGATTGATGTATTTACGAACCTGAATTCCCTTTGGGACATCTGTTGCATTAATAAATTTAGCGGTTGATAAATCATAAACGCCGTTGCTGAAACCAATATAGTTACCGGTATGATCTAATGCCATGAATGCAAACCCTGGATGGACCGTATATTTAATGAAATGGAGCAATTCGTCAGATTCTTTCTTCGACGACAATTGATATGAATCGTCATGTGCCAAGATATCGTTTAGAAATAGCTTTGGATCACTATACTTGTAGGTGTAATAATAATCCGTCTGGCGTTCATATATTGCCCCTGAGCCATATGAGCGTCTGTATTTATCGCCAACGATTTTGATTAGCTTCAACTTTAGCCGCTGAGCCTCAGTAAGTTTGCGTTCTGCTTGGGGTTTAACTGTTTCCTTAGCTATAGCAGTGAGGGATTTAATGTCTTCTGGTGCGAACGCATCCTCATCAACTGAGATCTCATTTTTTCCACGTCCAAACCAGCGAATCGCTTTTTTTTCTTTAGGAGCATGAGTACATTTCCACCAAGCACATTGCTTTTTTCATTGAAGATTAGAAGCATCGTATCGTCTGATTCGTGAATCCGGTCGCAAACAGAGCAATACGATGAACCAGTACGTTTGACATATACGAAGTTGCCTTTGGGAGCCCGTCCATAAACATCAAATTTGAATGGATCGTAATCGGGGATCTTGCTGATCTTCTGAATCGCTTTGTCAATGAACTCACTACTCGACTCGGCGAAGATTTCTTGCGGCTTATCAGCTGACTTGATTTCCAAATCATTGGTCAAATCGTGATCAGTGTATGCCATATCAGCAGCAGTATCCAACAAAAATGGCGTGTTGAAAGTAGAGTTGAATGGTTTGATTACTTGATTTACATTCCCTCGTTTGTTTCCTCCTGGAAGTGAAAGCGATCCATTGCTGCGATATGGCTGAAGATCAATACACGATTTTAAAAACTCGATGTAAGAGTCTCCAACATCGCTGATTTGTGTGAAAGACTCCCTCAGCATGTATTTGACAATGGCCTTACACTCTGCAACAGTAAATCCGATGTTGGTAACAATATGCGTGGATAATTTGACGCCACCGTCCGTTTTACGCGATCGATTCGTCACAAGAAAGTCAAGGTCGTCTTCGTAGATAGCAAAATTGCAATCGATATATTCAAGTGCGTGCTTAAACGCGACCATATAATCAGTAGCCATTTGAAGAACCAATTCATCAGTCGTCATCTCATATGCATTGAATTCCGCATCAGTGAGCTTTTGATCGCAATCGATAAAGAACTTAATTTTGCGATTGCCAATGAATACTTCATGACACTCATGCTTCAACTGCTCATGAGCAAATTTAACAAATGCAGATCTATCAACATGGTTGTATAGCCAAACGAAGCGACGATTCTTTCCTTTACCATCAACGACCTGCAACACATGCGCATCCTTCACATCATAGAGATATTCTTTAGTTTCTCCATATAGTGAGTAGCTTACATTACCAACGCCACTAGCGTGCTTCTTGATCCAATGTTCGTATTGGCGCCCGCGATGGACATAGTTGTATTCATAATCAAGATTTCGATCAAGAACTGGCTCAACGACCGCTTCAGCAACTGAATGCACAACTGGCTTGACAACTGGTATGACTGCTTCAACAATGTCTCAACAGCTGGTTCGGCGATGGCTTCAACAACTGAATCTGGTTCTACAATCGGCTTGACGACTATTTCAGGAACTGATTCTACAACGGGCTTAACAACCGCAGTGAATTTACTCACGTGACCGCGATGGTTCCAGCAGCAAGGTGTAGCCTTGTAGCATTTATGGGTACAGTTTTCGACAGAGCACATTTCCAATATTTAATATTCGATGCGTTAATATTTCTTATATTCTAATAAACAAACATCAGAATAGAAAATTTTCTCAGACCTGAAGATTGTTCTCGAAAAAAAAACTATTCGAGTTTCACGATCTAATCTCTACTCGGGCTTTCTCGGCCCGCTTGCGCGCTCTATACGCTTCTTGATATTGAGAAATCTTGTCTTTGTTTCTTTCATTGTATTCTTTCTGCTTGGCCAACTTAGCGTCTCGGTTCTTCCGATAGTAGCGTTTTTGTGCTTCAAGCATCGGCTCTCTATGGATTTGATAGTCGCTTGAGTAAGTCATTTCTTATATACAATGCTATATTCTAATATACAAACATCGGAATAGAAATTTCTTATGTCCCTTGAGCGTGACAAATTGCGTCCCTTTGATTGAATCATTAACCAGTTGATTGGAAACGTATGATTTCGTTAAAGCGTCGTATAATATCTTTGTCCCCAGGAAAAAAGATTGTCGTCCCTGGGTAAATTTATTACGTTTCGTTATACGAGAAGCAACCGCAACGCCGATTCCCCCGCGTTTCGTGTTGTAACTGTTTGTCCCAACAAAAAGTGAAGTTGTAGCTCCACTATTAGAAAAAAGTGATAGATGATGATGAATCATTGACTGAGATATTTCTATAGACAAGTATAATTTTGTAGGGTCATAGGTCCAAAGAATATAAAAGTACTATAAGACTAACGAGAAGATCTCTAACCTGCATAATTAATAAACCTTTTGTCCCAGCAACATCCAGGTCCAATGAAATTTTACCAGGGCCATATCGATATCGATGCCGATTGATACTCTCGGTATGCAAATTAACAAAGTAACATCTAGTGGATGCCACTATTGATTGATGTTTCTTATAGATTGATTGATCAAAGTTTCTTGTAGTCAAAGATTTAGGGCCATATCGATGATTGAAGGGTCATATCGATATCGATTAATAAAACTTACCGCTAATGATGGTGTTGTGTGCAGTTTTTGAGCAAGCAAAGTAACATCTAGTGGATGCCACTATTTGATGATGTTTCTTGTAGATTAACTATGTCTTATAAAGTCCATAGCGATATTGATCTATCAACATTTCGCGTTTGTGAGCTAACTCGCGCTAGTAGTTTGTATTATTAAATTTATTTCATAGAGGTATCGGTCTATAGGTATAGGCTACAATCACAGTAAATTTTGGAAAGTACCGAGGCAAACAAATTGCTGAGATCTGGGAAGTTGATCAACAATACGCGAAGTGGCTGTACCCACAAGACATTTTGATTGGCGAGTACCCCGAAATCAAGAAGTTCCTCGATGAGAAGCTTCGTGGATCTGACCTTTCATTTGTGATGACATGGGGAAAATACCGCGCCAAAAGTATCAAGTGGATTTTTGAAAACGATAGGAGTTACATTGCCTGGCTAATGAAGAATGAGTTCGTTAATTCGAACTGCCCAAGGTTGAAGAAGGAGTTAGATCAACTAATGCAAGACGAGTGAATTTAGATTGCAAACGAAACATTGGACATATGTGTATTTGCAATTGTTATCGTGTTCTTGTCATGTTCTCATCATGTTGTCATTACGTTTTCCTTACGATGTTGCTATGTATTTTTGTGCCAGTACGTGCTACAAGGCTGTGGCATCACGAACCCACACATTTTCGACTTGTCTGTGTCTGATGAATCCGTCCCTTTGATTGAATCGATAGCGATTTGATTAGAAACATATGATTCCGTTGAAGAAATGCATAATATCTTTGTCCCCAGGAAAACAGATTGTAGTCCCTGGCAAAATTATATCGATTCATTACACCAGAAGCGATCATAATGCGAATTCATAGTGATTTAGCATATTTCAGTTTGTCCCAGGAAAAAGTGAAGTTGTAGTCTCCACTATTAGAAAAAAGTGATAGATGATGATGGATCATTGACTGAGATATCTCTTTAGACAAGTATAACTTTGTAGGGTCATAGGTCCAAAGAATATAAAAGTACGATAAGACTAACGAGAAGATCTCTAACCTGCATAATTAATAAACCTTATGTCCCAGCAACATCCAGGTCCAAGCTGGGACAATGAATTTTACTAGGGCCATAATAATTTTGATGTCTATCAATCGTTTCGGTATCGAAATCAATATAGCAACATCGCGGCATTTGCTCGATGTTTCTTATAGATTGATCGTTTGAACACTGATTCGTTGATGTTTCTTATAGATTGACTCATTGATGTTTCTTATAGATTTAATGATTGATTTTTACCGGGGCCATAACGATTTTAACACCGAATCGTCTCGGTGTCGATATCAATAGAGCAACATCGCTGATGCCATACCGGTATTTTGTGTTTGGTCGGTATATACTGATATTAATTGCTTAGAATCAGAAGTGGTTGGTTCGTATTCTAGGGTGGTTCTTAACGATTTGGCCATTAAACAGGGTGCTTTATTTATTGTGTCGTTTCCTTGTGACGCATGAGCCAACACATAAAGTTTCAGAGGGATGCCACAAATAGGTGTTCCTCAGTATCAGAAAACGCTGTTTCTATTGGTTGTGATACCAATGACGTTGATTGCATCATCGTTTTGAAGAGGTTATCATATTTGTTAAGAGGCATCTGGCTGGAGCGCTCCAGAGGACCACACCACAAGAAATCTGATCCACATCTCACCGCTCTGGTCCGCAGTCTGCGGAATCGAGCACGATTTTCTCATTCATGCACTGATCATGGCGCCCACACGCAAGAATCAGCAGCGAGTCAAGAAGAGCACGTCCAAGAAGAGCGCGCGAAAGGCTCGAGTGAAGACCCGAGCGGGAAAATGCACCCATTGGATTGAAAGCGAGGATAGAACTTGCCGAAATCCACTCAATCCAGCCAACAAGAAGTACTGCACTGCTCACTTGGACGAATTGGCTCGACGCGTGACGATGAAGCTCTCGCCGCTTGAAGCCACCGCGCTGACTCTATTTCGCAAGTACGATCTAACCGAAGCCATCTATGATGAGACCAGTCGCCTCGTTGAATCGGTTCTACATGATGCTGCGGTAAGTCGTCACCCATCAACTGCGGAAGTCAATGCGTGGGAGGCAAGCCAGGCATTCCGACCAGTGATGGACAAGCTGACTAAGTCGATGGAGAAATTGAACACGCATAAGTATTGAAGAGATGTAATCGTTTGAATGAGATAATCTGGTTTTGCGGAAAGAACATGCGCGATCGTCCTCTTAACGTACACCAGCGGACAAGTGTGTCATTTATGTGTGCTTCGTCCGCTCTGCCTGTGCATAAAACAGCATCGAGCGGACCTCTAGACCTCTGAGAACGAATAGAGGGGAGGTGTGACGTACTATATAGTACGTCACACTAGTACAGTACCTTGCTCGACTTTGGGCAAATTTGGTACATATATAGAAGTTATGGAGGAAGAGATTTGCGTACCGGAATTAACGTGTTTTCTGCAACCGTGTAAAAAGTACCCATTTGAAACCGCCGCTTTGCTCACAATACAGTCGTGCACCTCGTTTTCGGCCCCGGTATGGCTTAATAACCTGCACAATATAATGATTGCGCACCATGCATTGCGCAAATGAGTTGCCCATCTCCTTTGGACCAAATAACCTCAATGGTATTCCTCCTCGGGGAGGGATGAAACGCCGCACTTCCGCCACGATGCATCAGCTCAATCACTTCACCATACTTCAGCTCATTATAAATTTTGTCGCAAAACGCCATGGCACGTCGCCCGTCCGCCTATTCTACGTTGAATCAAGGGATTATAAAAAGTCTCAAGGACCACTACCGTGCTAAGAAGCAGGAGGCCGAGCTGGACATGTTTTATAAGGGCGAGAAGTATACCCCCGTCAATATTTATACAGCGATGAAGTGGTGCTCACAAGGTTGGCAAGACGTATCGACAACGACCATACGAAACTGTTGAAATCACACTGGTATTGTGTCAAAGATGGATTTAAGATTTGTACTTAATTTAAGGAAATACAGAGTAGTACGTTTGGATTCCATCTGTTCCTCTATAAATATTCGCAGCTCGTAGACTCTATATGGTCCACCCCGCGTGCACGACTGTATTTTAAGCAATAGCGCGCTTTAACTGGGACACAGTTTTGATGACAAACTGGTTAATTTTGCTGGTGCTGCAGACTTTTTACGGGCAAAAAATTGATCGGTTGCAAAAATACCGTTAATTCCGGTTTGCCATGTAAAGCGCTGCAATGATCGCTTTGAAAGCGAACGGTCTAGTAATTATTTAAAAAATGCTAATAGCTAGCGCAGAATTTTTCTACCCAGTTTTAAATACTAGAAGTGGAGGTTAATTTGTGACAAAAAAAAATGGGGCTAGAGGTAAAAGACTTATGCTGTTCTAGCTCCGACGAAGGCTGCTTCGTCGGCACGTACATGTTTCATTCGCAGCACTAAAACCCCAACTGTCCCGAGCACTATCGTCACTAAGCTGCTCTCTTCTGTTGCCGAAGATCCTGTTTGAATCCTTCACTCCTAGTTCCCAGCAAAAACAGCATCAGTCAACTTGTCTAAAAAACGAGCGTGCTAACTTCTGATACCAAAGAGGCACTTTGTTATGGTCATCTGCATCTATTTTTGCATCAAAAATGGCAATTCGGATTCTACTTGTCCTTCAGGTAACTGGACTCGTCAGCTGGCCATAACGCTCCCCAATGTGCCTTCCGCGACGCACGATACACCTCACGAACTGCTTTACCTCTGGTTACACTACGACGCTCATGCTTTCCCTACAAAATTATTACAAAACCTCGTTAGAAACTCAATTTCAGCAGTACAAACTGAGCTACAGGTAATGCACCATACCTCCGGAGTGCACAGGTCAAGATGCACGTGGCGGGTAGCAAGCAGTGGGTCTAGAAGCAAGCGTGCAATCGGTTTCTTCTTCTTCGCGGCGGCATCTTCCTCACTTCCTTTGCGTGTCTTCTGCATGATCATGTACGAGAACTTGGAGCCCTTCTGCCCATGCCAGCGCTTAGTAGTCACTTCACGAGGGCGATTCACTACAGGCGAGCGCTGCACAAAGTGACACCACGTGTTTCCACCTACTGGACACTGTCAACAGCACAAGCAATACGTTTTAAACACCAACAAGGACACATATCCAGCTGCTTCACCTTCCTACCTCATCATGATGCGGGCACGGGGCCACAATGCGCACACCTTCCTTGCCATTTGCATCCTTAGCAACCAAGTCCAGCACAAACTGACGCGCGGATCGCACGTGATGCGACCCCCACGGACTACCACGATCTACAATCACCAGACACCCGTCCTCGCTCAGCAGCTCCCATAGTGCTGAGGTAGTCGCGACACGCTCGAAGTCGTTCGTGATATCTGAAAACACGTAGCTCACTACTACGAGGTCGTATTTGTTGCCAGCATCGATGTCTCTGGACAAGTCGGTGATATTGCGACGCATACTCAAGCCTGGAAATCCCTCGAGCACGACCTCAGCCGCGTCCACCATAGACTGGCTGGGCTCCACCACGCGATATTTATCCAGTGATTGGTCATAGAAATCTTTGGCCACCCAAGATGCCGTACCGGGTCCTGAACCGAAGTCCAGCACGGACTTAGGCTTGAAGTCGGGTAGTCGTTTCTGCAGCTCAGTGAATACAGCGTGTGTGCAGGCGTAAGTGGCCTCCATCTCGTAGGCCAGGAAGGCCAGCGTTTCGGCCGGTCCGTAGGCAAAGGGCGGGATCTGCTGGCTGCGGTCCATGGTCCAGCCCAGAGGTGTCTTGCTCATGTCAAGTGGCACCTGTCGCGTATTCCGGCGGTCACCTACGTGCTTCTGGCGTAGCATCTCGAGCTGCGAGTGCGTGCGGCTACGTACGACGGATGCAAGACGCTCCAACAGCTCCGTTGGCATCTCCACGCGCCGCGCTAGGCCGTTTCGCGAGAGCTCAGCAATGTCCGCCAAAATGGAAGGAGTTCGCGGGTCTGCAGACGAATTATCGGCCGCTTTGGCGCTAGTTTTGGATCTACGCAAGCGTCGTGCGCGACGGCTAGCGGCTGGTGAAGAGAAACTGGCTGAAAGTATTGGAGCAGCGGCGGCCGGCGCGAGGCGAGCGCTCAGCTTCCGCAGCATCGTCAGTCGCGACAACATGGATGCGAATCGATGGTGGCGTTTGGCCCAGTCAAAATAATTGGTACTTTTTGGTACCGGTACCGTAAAAAACTCAACTGGGTTATTTTGTTGTTAAGAACGGTTAAGAACAGCCCTTTTAGGGCCTTTGCTAAAAACTTGAAGTACTTGAGTACTTTAAATAAATGGGTTTTTCAAATTGATTTTTAAACTTCAAACATTCTGTTTGCTGTAAGCTCGGGTATAACTACAAATAATGATCTACTGGCATTCTGGTAGGGTTGTCTTAACCCTTCTAGCCCGATATTCTGTATTATACAGAATAAGCAGTTTTGCAGTAATAAATATTTGACAAAGCTGGCTACGAACCGATTCTTCGCATAAAGTGATTAGTAAGGGTGAAAGTCAGCTTAGAATTCGGTGACGGGTAAATAAACGGGGATTCGTCGAATGTAAGAGAAATACGAATATAAACAAGAGAGTGACTATATTGACCGACTGAGTTAACCTTCCCCTACAAATTTTTGACGCGCTCCCATTTGTACGATGTATACAGTGTGTACCATGTATACCATTCAGCCTGACAGCCACTAAATTTCGAACAGCGTAACGATCGTAAAGCTGCAGGAGGGGGAAATGGATCTCCGCGTCCGAGCCGTCCAGAAGAGGCCGCTAACTGGGGCTGTCGCGCGCGAGATCGACGAGAGCGACAGCAGCGATTCTGAGCCGCCCCGAGAAGACTCCCAGGACGACGTCTGGCTTCCAACACCCGCTGCGAGCGGTGCTGGTTCGGGTGATGGAGAGTCTTCCGAGGCTTTCAGTGTGTCGGATGTAACCGATTTAACCAGCAGCACTAGCGAGGGTGGTCCCCCCACACGCGTGGTGGCATTACCACCCAACACGGTGGAGTTCGCCTCGTGGGAGGCCTTCGACGAGTACCTGGCTGCGTATGAGGCCCAAACGTTTCAAGTATGCGAGATTCATTCAAGATTTAATGAACGGATGTCTGCCCCCGCTGTCCCACTAATTTTGTGCTATCTGTCTTGTAGATATTCAGGGCGCGCTCTTATACCAGCGTGGCAGAGCGTGTGGTGTAGCGGGATCAGCAAAATCTGCGAGATTGCCAGATCCAACTTACCAACTGCGCCCAGACACCGACTAACGGAGGGGGTCCCCCGATGATCCGTGTTCTGCTGAACTTTCCTCACCTTGTGTACCCGTCGGTAGGGCGGGATCTGCCCTCTCGGTAACTTCCGAAGAGTTCAAGTGGTGAAGCTTGAGTGTCTTGGCGAGACGTGGGGATGGGGTGGAGCAGCAGTGGAAAATCTTCACTCTGCGTCCGTGGATGGTTCCGTATCCTAAGCGAATATTCGAGCTTATGGATCCGGGGCCTAGATCGTGGATCTAGCCGTAGGGTTGCCTTGCGGGTGTGTTCCCTTGCCTTTGTGTTGTCCTTTAAGTCGTACTTGCCGCCTCCTGTGACGGGATCTTGAGAGTTGAGAACCTCTAGGGTGTAACCGACCAAGTAGTAAATTCGGTTAACCTGTCGGATCTGCACGAGTAAAGGAAAAGCTCACTAGGTTGTAGGATCTGGCCAATGTATTATCCAGTTATCACTACCAACACTAGATTCGCAATTCCCAACCTTCTCGGAGCTCGTACGGCCAATGTAGTTCCGGTTCTTGAGGGCAGGAAGGCACTTGCGTGATACTGTGCAAATTGAGGACTGTATTGATATTTAAGCCTATACCTGCCTGGGTTTCTACCTTCTATGTCTTTCATCTGCTAAATCCCTTACCAGGCTCGGCTGCATGTCCCTTCTTCCCTTGACCCATCATCCCAGCTGTGTTATCTTCAGATCCACCGGATATATGACGTAATCATCATGGTCACCCTATTATGGGTACACTCATCCGGATCCAGGTCGCTTGGATCCACCTCACCGTAATGGTACACTCGCCGTGGATCCGAGCTCTCCAATCATCCAACATCATCTCGCAACCGTCTGTGATCTCCGTTGTCCCACGAAAGTTCGAGATCCACTGTATCCCTCATCCCTATACCCTGGATCCAGGTCCCTCCAGGCGGGATCCTCCCTCCTTGGATACGAACTCAGGAGTATGGGATCCGGGGTACCTCGCGGTGGATCTTGACTCTTCATTAGCCGTGGCTACTAGATCCACCGTCAGAGGGCACCGACCATCCTTCCTTCATAGGATCCACACTCGATCCACTCTTGTATAGTATATCCCATATCCATCTTAGTGAATCCAGGTAAGGGTGGATCCGAGGTAAGTCTTGGTGGATCTTGCCTTCTCGTACATCGCTCATATCAGATCCATCGTCATTCCATACGGGGTGCTGCTCGCCATGGCTAATCCACCACAGGCAACTTGCACCCGTGCCAAACAACCCAAATCCTCTATAATCACTTGAAATTGTCACTGATTCGGGATAGTGACCCCGCGTCAGGACCATTCTCTTATTTCTGAGAAAGCACTTCACCACAAGCGCAATGCCAGGATTGACAAGTCACAGTCAAAAGCAGCTAAAATACCAGCATCGTGGGAACAGTATTCGAGGACGTTCGTTTGTACGCACTCAGGGGAGTACAAGTCTGTAGCTACGAAGCGGCCACGCCAAGAGACTCGAGCACAGGGCTGCAAGGCGCAGGTACATATATGTCGGCCTGGTCGGGACTGGTCGGGTCCAGTCGGGGTTAATCGGGTAGTTCACTGACTGACAGTGGTTATATATGCTCTACAGATTAATGTCTGCGTCCAGGTAGTTGATACAAAGAATACGACGTTTGCTGTGCGGGATCACTCGTTGTCGACTAGAGCACAATCATCGTCTGACAAGCCTAGCTTTCTCTTCACATCCATCGAAACGCATTATCCTCGACGAGTCAACGCTAACTACAGTTGATCTACTTCGAAAAAAGGTGTCAAGAAGTCTGGTATCATCAGCCACCTAATGAAGCACACCGACAGTAACCCCACCCCAAAAGATGTGCAAAACCTCGTCCAGAAACTGAAGGCTTGCGAACAACGCGATGGGCCTTCAAGCACTGACAAGCGGCTTAAGAAGTGGATGAAGCAATTCGGTGATGTGCCAGGGAACGTTGGTCGGGTTTTCTTGGACGACGTTGGTGGCAAGGTAGAGTGAATGCTTTTATCAGGTCTAATGTCAATTCATGAAGTTAACATTTGTTGTTTTGTGTGCTATTGGATACGCAGAAAGTTGCGACTTGCATCACATTGCAAACAAAGCACATGCGAACACTATTCGACCATTTCCTGAAGTTCTGATGATTGACGCAACGCACGGGACGAACCGGTCTAAGTATAAAGTTTTTTCATTCATGGCACACGATACGTTCGGCAAGGGCCAGTTTGTGCAGCACGCGCTGCTTCAAAATGAGCGCTATGAAACCCTGTTGACAGCGACAGAGGAATTCAAAGCGAACAATCCTGCGTGGTCAAGACTTCAATGTGTGCTGGTGGATAAGGATTTCACAGAACTGTCCGTACTTGAAAAGGCATTTCCTGGGGTGACAGTCTTACTTTGCCAATTTCACGTGCTGAAGTACCTACGGGAAGAGATTGCTTCAGCTGACTATGGCTTTTCGAGGTCTCAGAAAGAGCAACTTGGCGGTGTTGTGAGCTTACTTGTCTACGCAAAAACGGAAGCAGAGTACGACAAACGCCTCCAGTACATGGTGCATCTTGCGTCGATTGGTTATGCCGGTCCAGTTGCGAATGATCGATCTGGTATCGTAGTCGGTGTGGAGTCGGGCTCAGTCGGTGTGGAGTCGGGCTCAGTCGGTGTAGAAGTCACAGATCATGAACTGGAAGATATTTCTTCTCGCATTGATAAACATCCTTTTGTGAAGTACTTTCGAAAGAATTGGGACAGCTGTCGTGAGCTCTGGTGTGCACATAGGCGCCAGAATACCGTCACACTCGGCAATAATACCAACAATCGCCTAGAAGCCTCTTGGAAGCATCTTAAAGAGTGGGTGGATTCGTTTATGGGGGTGTATGAGTGCATCGCTTCGACCATGTACTATCAAACGTTACAAGAGCGATTGTTCATTGCAGAAGTATACAAGAATGTGACCGTCCAGCATCCTGATTACGACAGCGAGATGACACTGGTGGCGAATATTGTCAGTGAGCATGCTTGTGAACTTATATTCGGGCAGTATTCGTATGCTATTGGATCTGCGTCGTACACGTTTTATGAGGGGTGCCCAGACGTGTATTTTATCAAGAGTATATCTACAGCTGATGACGCGCTGGACGAGATGAACGCCGAGTATTCAGTTACTAAGCGCGAATGGAAGTACTCCTGTCTATTCATGTGCACGAGATTGCTACCCTGTCGACACGTTTTCTACCTCCGAAAGGCTCTTGGTCAGGCGACAGTCATCCCCACACTACTGTTAAACAGGCGGTGGCTGTTGTCTACTGTGCGTGCGGCGATTGAAAATTCAAGTGTCGTCTCTGACACAGCGGAGCCAAAGTCTTTTGAGGTAAAAAATGTGATATCCTCACAGGCGAGACCGTGGGACTCGAGCCGCAAATATCGTGAAGCACTGCAATTTGCATCCCAAATTTGTGACACCATGGCGGGACTCGGCATGACGCAGTATAAAGAAGCGATGCAGTATCTTCAAAGTGTGACTGGGCGGTTCAAGAGAGGCAAATTCGAGGATCCCGGTGTGCCAATTTTACCACCAGCTGAATCTGAGCGTCACGGTTCGACTAGCAGCTCGCGCGATGATGCGCTGTCGCCGCCACTACTTACTGGTCACGATCCGACTGCACGGCCGACTCACCACGTGTCGACAGAACTGCTTACTCGTCATGCGGATACAGTAAATGTGAGTCATGTATCCCCAACTGTCTCTGAGTCTGACCATGCCACAAGCTGCAACTCCGTCGAAACAACACAGGTTGCAGATTTATCGGTCCAGTCGGTCTCGATCGGAGGCCAATCGGGCTCAATCGGGGGCATATCAGGTCCAGTCGAGGAAGAATCGGGTCCAGTCGGGGAAGAATTGGATACAGTCGGGAAAGAATTGGATACAGTCGGGGACGTTGAATTAAGCACACTACCACCAGCAGCGGAGGACACGCCATTTGTGATAGCGAGTCCTCCAAGATCGCGAGGACGACCAAGACAGACAGCCAGATCAAAGAAGGCAGCTCGTAAAAAAACTGTCATTGTAGCTCAAGAAGACTCAGAGCTGTACGCTTCGAATTTAAGCTTGGCGTCCGTGGATGCAGCGCTGTCTTCGGATGCAACATACATATCGTCAGCTGCAGCTGTGAACAAGTTCAAAATGGTGGAGTATGGCTTCAAGTTCAAGACACCTACAGCACGAACAATATCGAGCTTGCCACCCACAATCGCTTTGATACCAGCAGAGTCGATCACGCGGATATTGCGCCCTGAACAAATTGCCATTTGCAGGAAAAAGGTTTCGGCTCTGCAGTCGAAGCACAAAGGCCTAGCAGAAAGTGCCGTGGCGCTGGATATTTCAGGCTTTGGTGCGTACTCAACGAGTACAATTGGGATCATGAATAGGTGGCACATGGCAATAAAGGTGGTAAAACAGGTCGAGAAGGCTGTGAAGTGGGTCGAAATCATTGACTTCACACTCCCAATGCCTGCTGCGTTTCAAGTGGTGCTACAGACGGATATGCTGTCAAAGATGCAGTCAATCCCGCTTTTGTCTGCAAAGGTACGTCGACGAAATCATGCCATCACTACAACACTTTCTAACTAAACGTTATGTTTGACAAACAGGCAGAAATTCTAGATCTCGTCGAAAAAAACAGCTAAGCGACGATACCATGAATATCGTCATGTCCAAGCTGTTCGGAGAACGAAATGATGTCGTCATTGTGGATCCAGGTGTTATCGGTTCCATTGATAATGAAGATAGTCCTGTCAATACCAGAGCCTTCGCTACAATTTTCGCGGGCAAGACGAACGAGAAAATTCTGATCCCTATATGCTGCAGCAACACGCATTGGTGCTGCGTAATGGTGAGCTTAAATCTGAATGATGTGTGCATCTATGACCCAATGAGCTCGAGCTATGTCGTTAGAGTCCGAGCGGTCGCAGAAAAGCTGGCAATGCAACTGCCAAACTACGCACCAAGGAAATACCGAGTACACCACTACATGGGCGATCTAGGGGTACAAGTAGATTCATACAATTGTGGTATGTATGTTCTGCTAGCGTTTGAGGTATTCGCTGGTGCCCAAGGTCTGTGCATGCTGAGTAGGAAGGAGTTACAGTATCTGCGCTACAGATACATATATATGTGTCTATAGCTAACCCTTTCAACAAGTTGATATTGATTCTGCACTTACCAGTCCCACTGAGCTCTACTGAATAAAGTTTCTCATGCTCATGACATGATGCCGGTCGTACTTGCACGCTCAAACCACAAAGTCTTCACATCCGGATATACGTATACGGACGCTTGATTGCTCAACTGACTTAATCTGTGTCGGGCATGGTCGGGCATTGATCGGGTGCTGTCGGGCACCATTAGCCTGTCTCTTCCACACCAGTCGGGTTGAATAGCAAGTGCCTTTATTGGTGGCGTTTGGCCCAGTCAAAATAATTGGTACTTTTTGGTACCGGTACCGTAAAAAACTCAACTGGGTTATTTTGTTGTTAAGAACGGTTAAGAACAGCCCTTTTAGGGCCTTTGCTAAAAACTTGAAGTATTAATACTTGAGTACTTTAAATAAATGGGTTTTTCAAATTGATTTTTAAACTTCAAACATTCTGTTTGCTGTAAGCTCGGGTATAACTACAAATAATGATCTACTGGCATTCTGGTAGGGTTGTCTTAACCCTTCTAGCCCGATATTCTGTATTATACAGAATAAGCAGTTTTGCAGTAATAAATATTTGACAAAGCTGGCTACGAACCGATTCTTCGCATAAAGTGATTAGTAAGGGTGAAAGTCAGCTTAGAATTCGGTGACGGGTAAATAAACGGGGATTCGTCGAATGTAAGAGAAATACGAATATAAACAAACCAAAGGTTTGAAAATACTGCTGTAAGCCGACGCTGACAATTTTGGCCACTACTTTCTTGCTCTCATTTTCGAAAGATGAACGGCCCAGGCGAGATAATGTTCAAGCAGTTTTGGCGCGAGCTTTCTAAGGAAGGTTGGAGGCCACGTCAGCCGGTCGGACTTGCCAAGCACCACCGCTACGTGAGGCCTGGGGTCAAGGGTCGTCTAGATGAAGCGAGACGCGGGGAGGACTTCTTTGAAGGTAAGCGTGAGCTGTATTAACAGTCCGGGTGTTACGCTAATGTCTGCATGATCTAACAGGCGAAGAAGAACTAATGGTGTATGGTTGACGCTCTGGGTGCCTTCAGCTGTCGTTTTATGGTGATGCAAGACATGCCTGTATTCTCAAAGGCAGACCAGCGTGTAACGCTGACGCAGGACTTCAGTCTCCGATGTCTTTTCCTACAGAGTTGGCACCCCATGCTGACGCACCAGGACCAGCTACGACAGTGCAGCCATGTCCGTGTTCCAGTCCGGTGAATACGAATGAGCAGCCATCTACATTACACCAGCGTTCAGTCGAGCCTGAGCCCCCGTCTTTGGGAGAAGGTTGCCTAAGCCTTGTCGTGTCTCCGACTCCTATTCTGGCCTCTACAGAGCAAGAAGCTGTCACTGCCTCTTATGTTCCGGAGAGTACAGAGTAAGAGGAACGTAAATGTCGGAGCGACAGGGAGCTGGAAGGGGCCAAAAGCGTAAGCACGGCTCTCGATGTACCGTCAGGTCCTGCGAATCCTGATATATTTCATAGCGATAACTTCATGAAGGGGCTATGGTCGGAAAAGCTGTTCGGTGATACAGATCTGGACGATGTGAACCTGATGGAAAATCTAACGACACTGATTCCGAGTCTGATACCGACGACGGAGACATCATGGCTGATAATGAGCTAGATACTCTCGTCGTAGCAGACGTACAAGATGTCGACGATGTGGCACTGAATAAAGGTGATCCGGACACCGGTATATTTGACTTGACGTCCGATGAACTGCGGGGTTTTGCGGAGTCAGGCTGGACAGTTTACGATGAAGAACGTAGTGGTAAGTTAAAGTATACATAATAAAATCAATTTTGGAGTGCTAATTCTGTATAATACGTTATAATACTTTCTCAGGTAATTTGCAATTAGACGCAGCGACAGATGGATCTTGGGGGCCGACCTGCTCGGCTGTTGCATACGCGAACTCCCAACTCGACATGTTCTTCTATTTCTTGCCAAGGAGCTGTGGGTTCGAATTGCCAAAGACACTAACCGGTACCGACAGCAGACTATTAGTGCTGTCGCGGCTTCCCGTCGAGCTAAAATACTCGCACGTCAGGCTGAAGACCCAAGAGTGAGTGTTTCGAGCTTAGAAGAATACGAAGAACGACTGAACAAGCTCAAGCAAATTCAGCCATATGAAATTGTGCACGTGGTAGCCCTACTGATTGCACGAGCCATCCTTTTCGCGATGGTCTTGCCAAACACTGGTCGACTGATGAAAATGGAGATATTCCTCGGGGATCATTTTGGAGATTCATTCGAGGCTATCATGCAGCTCTTGCACTTTAACAATAACGGAGACGAAGAAGCGCGTCGGGATAAGGCTTGGAAGATCAGGCCGCTCTTACATACAGTGGAGGAGACATTTCGGCGAGGCTATCGCCTCGGAAAGGTGATTTCCTTTGACGAAGGCATGATGTCAAACCGTATTAAATTTAATTCGATGCGAGTGTTGATGCCGGACAAGCCCGGCAAATACGGAACCAAGCTATACGTGACGTGTTGCGCCGAGACCGCATACTAGCTGGGTGCTACAGAATAACTAACATGCGCTTGTGGTATTCTGTATTCTACTGATTTAGAGTGGAGATTTACTGTGGAGCAGACAAGAATAAGAAGCAGAAAGAGAAAACGAATCATGACACTTTGGGACTTGGGCCTCTGGCCGTCATGAGCAACATATCCAAAACGCTCGCCGGTCAGCTGGAAAACGACACATCGCCACGAACAGCTTCTACTCATCCGTATCACTGAGTCTGAAGCTACTGGGGTTGTATCACGTCGGTACTGCACGGGTAGACCGGTTAGGCGGGTGTCCGCTTCAGTTCACGCAGAGGACGAGACCGAAGAAATTGCCACGAGGTTCCTTACCGCATAGCACAAGCGCGTGACCATCCTCAGCTTATTGCACTGAGCTGGCTGGATTCAAAACCGGTGAACATGCTGGCGACAGGGTGCAATACAAACCTGACAAGCGTTAATCGCACGGAAAATGATGGCAGCCGCAGTACAGTACCTTGCCCACAGCTGGTCGTGGACTGCAGCCTCGGCATGGGAGGCGTAGACGTCCACGATCAACTCAGGCCGCAGCGTTACAGTATTCAGAAGTACATTGCACTACGGAAATACTACAGACAGATATTTATATGCATTGTAGACATGGCATTAGTGAATCAATGCATCGTTCAATGTATTACGCTCAAGAATAAAGGTTTTGCTCCGCCAACCCACGCCGATTATTTGCGCCGGTTGCACAACCAGTTGCTGGCGCTGCAAACAATCAAGTGTGATACCCACCTGAATGCCGAAGACCTGGTGACTGTACCGATTCAACACCAGAAACACAAGTTGGTGAACACAGCTGACTTCTATTCTTCGAGCAAGCAAACCAAGCGGCGACAGTACCTTTGTAAAAAGTGTTCGGCGTTCTCGGCCACGAAAAAGAAGTCTTTCGAAATCAGCTATTACTGCGAGGACTGCAGCGAAATCTTTGGCGGTCGGGTGCCGCTTATCCGACGCAAGGATGAAGGGAACAAAAGTACATGCTACGAGGTGGGGCACGAAAATCTGGAACAGTGGTAGGAGTATTCCACCTGAGCTAACGAAAAAGATCCGATTCCGCGAGAGGAGATGTAAGTAAAATTAAACGCATGATGCGACGCACTTGTATGATTTCGTTGGCACGTTATCGTCGCCTCTGCTGAAAAAAATCGCCTAGTTCCTCCTCACTAATCGTTAGTTGAGAACTGGGCGATTTTCCCCCTTCGTGCTCATTTCGTAATGAATGGCTCTAGTTTATCGCTCGACTACAACAGAATCGACAGGTATTTTAGACATGCAGATTTTGCTTCTATTTTTACACGAAACCAGCCAATAGAAGATTGATACCCTCGCAGATGTGAGAGGCGTTACTGCAACCACAATACGACAAGACGACAGGAAATAATGCGCCTAAAGCGACCACAAAAACATATGGTCTCTGGTAATTTATAATAAATGACGTGGCCACGTCGTCGCCGTCATCAATAGCAGTGTAAATAACGCCACAACATCCTATATTTAGAGTTATTGAAACAGCATTAAATGCGTGTGCACCACACCTGGGTGTGTTTCTTACACTACACTGTGTGGAACACATTTTTTCACACTTAGCAAATATTACAAGGATCCAACATCGCAGCAAGGATGGACGGAAGGTCGCTCGCTCGGGAGCTGGTGCGCGCTCGCATCTACGTGCTCATGGACATGAAGAACACGCTTGAAAAGATCGGCGCAAGCCTCGAGAAGATACTAATAGCTCAGATGGAGTTACTGTCACGCATTGAGGTGAGCGAGGAGAGCATCTACGTGCTGGCGTCTGAGATTGCCAATTCTGGTGCGAGTCAAGACGGGCACCTATCCTTCGGAGCTTTGCTAGAAATGGCAGTCAACAGATTGAATGGGTAGTATGGTAGTATGCTAGCGGTTTTTGTATTAACGGATAACACAGCTACATCTACCTACTTCAGTTGCTTGAGCAGTTTCTCATTAATAGACTTCGTATTATCCACAGTGCGACGAGCCATACGGCTCTTGCTCGATTTACAGAGTATTATCCACAGCATTCGGAGACGCATAGCTTCCACATCACTCTTGGAAACGTTTCTGCATTGCCAGCGAAGATTCGCGGTCACATAGCTGTAAGCTTGGGCCACAACAAACACGCCACAGCTTGAGTAGTCGGGTTGCTGTGGAACTTCAATCCACTCAATAGGGTCAATGCATAATTTTGCCGCAGGTGCCGATGCCTTACTCCATCTCGCCACAAAACCACAAAGCCCTTCCATAACTGAGTTACCATCGCCGTCCTTAACACCGTTCCAAACCACCTCCATGTCCCCATGATAACCTTCGTCAATCAGGGGCTCATACAGGTAGGGATGCACATGTAATGTGTCCTTGGCTTCAACGTAACGTAGCGTAGTTATTATGATACCCCAGTGGCTTTGGTTCAGGTTGACAGGTTGAATCATGAACTTGGTAGAAGTAATACGCGTGTTTGGTGTCTTTGGCCATCCAACAGCTGCCGTCAATGATGACAGGACGTAGCAATCCCGCATCGTGCTTCCAATGAATTCCAAACAGAAGTCAATTGGGCTATCATTCAGCCATCCTCTACAGAGTCCACCAACAACGTTTTCGAAGGCGATGCAGGCCTTACCCGACCGTGTCGTGTATTTCAGAACTCAGTCGACTGGATGAAAACTTTGAAATCACCTCGTTTGCCATGGTGCAGTGTCGCTCCTTTACAGCATCAACTGATATCCCACTCGTTTCAGTCTCCACAGCAAATAGATCCACATCGGAGTATACCTTCCGCCAGTTTTTCTCCAACCATTTCCGATCTTCGAACCATGCTTGTACCTTGGCCTTTACCGCGTATAATGTAATTGCAGCTTCCACGTATTGTCTAGTACAAATCACAGCTCACAGTTATAGCAAACAACCACAATATGGCACATAAGGTCAAACTAACTTTTGCTGCGTCAGGCGCAAGTACTGCAGTACGTACCAGGCTTGGCCGCGTCCTGCGCACGACTCATGGGTCTTCAGTGGCGTCAGCGTCGGGTGTGGAGCTCGTGTTCCTGGCGTAGCCGCGCGTTCTTCTCGCTCCCGCGCAATTTCTGAAATGGGAGGCTTAGAATGATCGTATTTAAAACGAATCGAACTTAAAAGAACAGATACGTACCTAAGACGGAAGCGTTTTTTTTTGGATTTTAGCTTCACAGGTAATTTATGAATTTGGGTAACGCAACCATAAAGTCTTTAAAACGACCATAAATGTCTCAATTTACGGTTGCGGTAATCACTCCGCGCAGATGTTGGATACATTGGTGATATAATGTCCACTTTCGTCGCTGTTTTGTGTTTGGCTTGCCCAGTCCTTAGACATAGCTAGCGGAGGGGGTTAAAATAGCATAACTCTCGCAGGTTTGAAAATATACTTTAATCAAGATATTTACTTTTTCTGTATAATATAGAATAAAACCTCGGGCTAGAAGGGTTGATAATTGTAAGAATTTGCTTTTAAGCTGAGACTGGTGTTTGAAACCAATCAAGAAAAGCGCGCGAAAATTCACAAAGTCTGGACGCGCCAAGCACATAAAGCAATTTCTGGCTCGCTGTCGATTGGAAATTTTCAAACAGATGACCCTATAATAAAGAATACTCTTCACAATGCGGTTAGTAGCTTAGATCCAGCTCCTAGCCAGCCTCCGCTCACTCTAAGAATTTTGCACCCAGACACCCACCACAATACCCGTGAGCGTCCTCAAAGGCGAGAGTCAGTCCTTGAGACGCAAGCTGCGAGCCGCCAATCGCAACATCGAACGCCTTACGGCTAGCATTGATCGTAGAGATCGCGATATTGCCAACCTTATTACGACACATCGCACCGAGAAGATGTTTCTTCCGATCAACCTTGAGGCGCGCATGACCGATCTCATGCGGCTTCACTGAGATGTCGATGGTTAGATAAACGGACAGGAGAACCGGGTGACGACGCCCGTTTTAACGGCCTCATGATTACATTGTTCTGTATCTGATCGAATTGTTAAAGCAGGACGAAATGGTCCACGACATCGGCTTCCGTTACTGCCGTTCCAAGTGGGTAGTCACTACCCCCCCCCCCCAAGAGGTTGCGGATATCCTAACTGAACGTGTGGAAGAGACAAATATGGTCACGCAGTTGGCGAAATTGTACACTGAGATTGTGACGGGGTCACACAGCACCTTGCGCTAGAGGAAGTTGGCTTCCGAGAGCTTACTAACTCTCAGTGAACGGCAGTTCACAGGTCCCCTTTTACCGAAATGGAGCGAAGTGACCAATTAAAGGTAGATTGTAAACTAAGTATATTGATAGGTAGGCTAAGCTTGAGTTAAATACAAACTATAAGTCACCTATAGAAAAGCAATGTCATCAGCCAATGGTTGGCCTCGGACGACCTTGGTACCTTATACCAAATATCCCGAAGTGTGACGTGTCACATTTCATGTAGCTAGGGGTACACTTAGGGATACGTACCCCGTTACATCCTCCCCCACTTTGGTTCGGTTTTCCACCAATCAGAATGAAGAAGTGTACGTCACAAACTTTCATTCTCAAAGCCGAAAAACATCGACTTGGCCGCGCGAGCGCTGCGGAGGCTCACTTCACAGCTAGAGCCTTGAACAGCAGTCTCTGCGCTCCTCTTCTTGGTCTCCCCATCGACCGTTGTCATGCTTCGTGGCACTGCGAAGAGCGGTGCGAAGACGCACTTCAAGGCTGCTGACGAAAAGGCGCAAGCCAAGACCACTAAGCCTCACGGCAAAGGCTCGGCACTCCAGGAGGCCACTCAGGTGCGCTCTACGGGAGGGCACTGCCCAGTGCCCAGCGAGCACAGGACGACAGCGTGCAGTCGTTTGCTAGTGATCACGGGGATCACAGTCCCAGGACGTCAGTGCGCTCTGAGAGCCCGGCCGCCAAGGCTAAGGGCACTCCCAAAACTGGCGACGACGAGGAGGAGAAACCTCGCAAACATATCTCGCTTGCCGATGGTCTTGCGCGTATTAAGGCCACTAAAGCCGAAGGCGCCAAGCTTTCTACGGCTTCGAAGTCTCCACTCCGCAAGGAGAAGGAGACTGGGTACTCCCATCGGGATTTCTTTGATTTCTCGAATGAAGAGGACGAGAAGGAGGAGGAAGAGGGTGCTATTTCTGAGCCCTGGGAGATCACTAATGACCTCGACCAGCAGCAGGAGGACTTCTAAGCTGCCCAGCGTGCGCGTGGGGGTTCGGTGGTGGCACCCGTCAGCCCCGAGGAGAGCTCTGGGGCTGACCTTTTCTTGGAGATTCTCGTCGCTCCTCGTGGCCTTGTTGGCGACCACACCCCTAGGGGCGCTTACGAACGCACCCTGGTCCAGAAGTAGCATTTGTTTGTCGACAACTTGGAGGCGGCTCGGTGTGTGCTTCTCGTGCCGCACCGTATCCCCTTAAGGACTTCACGACCTGTCGTAAGAAGCCCGAGAACCGGCGTGGTATCTATCCTCTTTGGGGTTACCCCTGGGTTCTTCCCAAGAACTATCCCAATTGGAGTTCTTGTGAGGACATGTTCTGGGCTCGGGTGGAGTCTCTCAAGTACTCGCCCTCGGAGTTACGGGAGCTCCATGAAGATCAGCAATGCTGTCCCGCATCCTGGACTAGCGTGATCTTCGTGTTCGGTTTACCCGCATGGTTAGCAAGCGCATGCTGCCAATGGACATTCTGAAGCGCGCGGCTTCTAGCGCTCACGATGAGCGCGGGTACGGAGTGTCGTCAGCGTCCGAGCCCCGTTCGGACAAGAAGCCCCGAGCTACTTATGAAGCTGCCACCGCTTCTATTCCCAGATTGCGACAGCCTTCGGGCAGTCAGCATGGAGCCGTTTAATCGGCTCCCACGAGCTCTCGGAGTGGGCATAACCCCTTCATTTCACGAGGAGCTGTCGCTTACCGCGCCACCGCCGCTCCTGAAGAATCTGCTCCACGTGGTAGTGGCCTTCTTCATTCCGGTCAAGCAGGGGTGGAGGT